GACCCAGACACCCCTGCGGCATGGGCCCCAGACTCCCTCCACCGTACTGCCATGGGTGGGACCCCAGGCTCCCTCCACTGCACCCACTGGCAGGACCCCAAACCCTGCTGCCACTGCCACAGGCCTCGTGAGCTCATTTGTGCCTGGCTGGTCCCCATTCCTCTCTCCGCAGTGTTGAGTGTCTGAGCCATTGGCTGCTCCGAACCATTTGGCTCTTCCATTATTAACAGCTTTTACCTTCTGCCTCAATTCCTCTCCCAGCTCACACCCTTCCCCTGTGCGCCTCCTCCCCCTGTCACCTGCTGCATGTGCCCCCATCCCTCCCCTGTGGAGGGAGCACCTCCGCTCACCAACTGGGGGCCCATGCCGTGCTCCCCGCCTCTGCCCCTGCCCACCCAGTGCCCATCCTCGCGCCTTCTTTGACGCACAGCCCTGCCCACCTGCCGCCCACCTTGCTGCCATCGGAGCCTGTGGGCCGCGGGACCAAGAGGTGTTCCATGCACCTCCTGATGACTGATCTTCAGTCATTACGGCATTATGGCCACAGGCTTTTTATATATATAGATTATAGTACACAGCTTCACATTGAATAGCAATATGGAAAAGCTGACATGCAATCTTGACAGGGATTATATCAGTGTCACTCAGTGAATACCTTTTTTTTTTTAAATTTAATTCTCACCCAAGGGTATGTTTTTATTGATTTGAGAGAGAAATGGAGGGAGCAAAAGAGAGAAAGAGAAACATCAATGTGAGAGGGAAACATAGGTTAGTTGCCTCCCATACGTGCCCAGACAGTGGATCAACCCGCAAATGGGTATGTGCCTTGAACTGGAATCAAACCCACAATCTTTTGGTGTATGGGATGACATTCTAACCAACTGAGCCACACTGGACAGGGCAGTGAATACCTTTTAATAACTTAGTAATGAGCAACTATATTTAAGAAAGTTTATGTGAAGAGTTTGCAGTCATCCCATTTTTTTAGATCCAGGATGGCAAACAGATTTCATGCCTAGAACCTGTTTAGGGTTCTACCGGATGAGAGGGGTTTGGAGGCTGATTCTGGATGAGATGAGAATGAGGACCATGCATGTCCATTATGGTCTTGTGGTGGTGGCATGTGTGCTGCATACTGGCCAACTCTAATCTAGGTATTCCAAATATATCCCTGCATTAACACTAAACAGTAAAGAACTGTGTATTGGGACCACTTTTGTGACACCCACACAGAAATAATTTGCCTGGGCTATATTTAAGCATTAAAACTCTAGCATGCATTCAGGAAAATTAACAGAAACAAAGCTATGAAAATTAGTATTCTATTTCCTGTAAGGATTTTTATCATTTGCTCCATTTAAGTATATTCTATGCATAAGAATCCACAAGAGACATTTTTTTCAAGACTTACTGCAAGGAATATTCATGTTTTACCTCAGTGGCTGGTCAGTCACCTGTTGTTGTTTTTTTAAGATTTTTTTAATTGAAATTTTTTTTTTTTTAAGAAAGAGAGAGAGAAAAAAAAACATTGTTGTGAGAGCAAACATAGATTGGCTGCCTCCTGAACTCCCCCTACCAGGGAGTGCCTGAAACCCGAGCATGTGCCCTGAACAGGAATTCAAACCAGCTTTTCGTGCATGGGACAATGGCCATCCAACTGAGCCACACTGGCCAAGGCATAACTGGTCAGTTTTTATCTCATGGACAATGGCTTACTCTTGGCACTGCTTCTAAAAAAACTAAAAAAAAAAAAAAATCTCTACTTCCTAGCACTGAGCTAGAACAGTACCCCTGCCCTCACAGAATCCTTTTCACATCTTAAACCCACCCTTGATTTCAACTAAGTTTACCTATCTTCATTTTTACTTACCCTCAATTTAGTCACTCATGCTTTTAATCTTCAAGAAGTGTTTATTCTATATGCTGGAATGACTGTATATAGATATCCAACCTAACTGTGCTGCATGGCAATTTACAATCCCTCAGAAGCTGGGTTTTCTATTCTATAAAACCAGAGGTTGTTCCATTCTAGTTCTGAAAATTTGTCATATTTCTAGATTAAAGCTAGGAATCCGTCATAAATTTACTTGTATGTTCACTGCCTTTATTAACTTATTTCTTTAAAAAAATCCACCTTTATATTTTATCACAATCAGTGAAATCTCACTGATTCTTCGAAAGGTAGCCATCTTAAACTAGATAATGTCGAATTTATGTATTCTGACTAGTTTGTATATAGAGAAATTTCACCACATGACATGTAAAGATATCTATTCTCATGATAGTACCAAAAAAGTAGAATTTCATATGAAGGTCCAGAGAAATTCACAAAGTAAATAACTTTGGAAATGTTAAGTAACATTTACATAGATTGACATCAGTCTAGTGAGAATAATATTAGTTTCATTATACAATGTAATATGAAATCCATCATATATCACTAACTGCATTTAGCACAGCACTCATTAATGAGCAAAGTCAATTCAAATGCGAAAAGAATTATGTGCTATACACTATGTAAATGAATTACATTACACACACAGATTTCAGAGCTGTTTATTAAATAAACTTTTCACTCTACCTTCTCTGACAGTGATAGACTTTTTTAAAAAAAACAATTAATTTTACTAGGTAACAGTGGTTAGATATACCCCAACTCCACTTGCCTGCTACTTTATTATGTGTGCAATTTAACACATATTTTGTTGCAAAAGAAAGAAAAGTATTGCTTAAATTAAGAGCAAGTTGCCTGTAGATTTTTGCTGACTTAAAACCTAATATTAATTTGTGTTGTATGTTCATGTTAAAAATTATCCTATATAATAAAAGGCTAATATACAAATTTTCCCCTCGGGTGTTTGACCCACCATGAGTTCGACCCCTCGCTATGACATATGCTGACCACTGCGTGCGGGGGGTTGCGGAATGAAGGAAGACCCTGGCCAGCAGCCCGCAGCCAAGGGAAGGAAGGCACCAATCAGCCCTAATTGCTGGGCAGGCCTAGGGACCCTACCCTTGCATGAATTTCATGCACCAGGCCTCTAGTTTAAAATAACTATTTAAGGCTATAACATTAACATAATGGATACATCTTCCCTGAATCTCAACAGATATTGCTCGTGTTTTTTCTTTGTTAACTTAAAGCTTTGTAATGGATGACATTCACAAAAAGTTATTTTCTCTCTCTCTCTCTTTTTTTAATTTCTAATTAGAACAATTTAAATTTTCATTGATCTCTAAACCAATCTGTACAACTTTGCTAACACAAGGAGTCATTTGAATTCTGAAAAGGTGGAAACTTTAGATTTTGTTTTTCTTTCCAATGGCACAAATAAGTTTCTGAAAGCAAAAGAACCACAGATTCTGACACAACACTGGCTACATATAATTAAACTAGAGGGCCGGTGCACAAAATTCATGCATGGGTGCAATCTCCAGGCCTGGCTGGCAATTGAAGTGTGAGTGATGTGGAAGGGCAGGTCCCAGCTGACCTCTGGCCCTGGACAGCACCTGGGCCCCTGGGCCCCAGCATGTCTCCCTCTGCCTCAGTCATGGTGCCCAAGTCCCCACATGGAGATACGGTGAGTGTGGCAGGACACTGTGGGACAGGGCACAGTGCTGCAAGGAAGCTGGGCGGGCAGCACACTTTCTCCAGTTGTCCTCACAGACTGGCTCCTGCATGAACCCACGGGGAGCCCAACCAGCCCCTGTGGTCCCAGCAGCTGCAGCCCAGCTCACCCAGAAGAGGCCGTGCAGGTGCGGGGAGGGCTCTTCACGGGTATCCAGCACCTGACCACAGGGGCTTCCCCAGCACACGAGCCCTGCTGTCCTGGGGGAGGGTAGCAGGGGTAGTGAGAGAGAACTTGGTGGACACCCCATATTCTCACCACTCCTCTGTCCCCATCATCCCCACCCCCAGGTAACTGGTAAAAGGTCACAGCCCCCACCTGGGCACCATGGGAGTTGGTCACTACTACCCACTCCCAGTTCCCCATCCCAGCCTGGGGACCAGCCCTGATCAAGCAATCAGGGCCTGCCAGCCACTGGTCACCATCTGCTGGGTGATCGGTGGGGCGATCAGTCCCCCGCTTGCACCCGCCTTGGCCTGACACCACCTTCTCACCTGCTCCACTATCCTGCTATGGTCCTGCTCTTTTCAGGGCCTATTGGAGCCAGCAGCATCTCCACTGCTGCCCGCTGCCAGCACTGTGTCACTGCCTCCTGCCATATTCCGTGCCACCCCCTGGTGGTCAACGCACGTCATAGTGAGTGGTTGAATTCCCAGTTGAGGGGACAATTTGCATATTAGATTTTTATTATATAGGATGGATGGCCAACTGTAGACAGCTCTCCAGAAAGCTGTGCCCTAAACATTTGAGCATCCATCCACCCCTGCCTATGAAGCATACAAATGCTTATACTGCTCTTGGATTTCTCAGAACAGAATTGAGGGACAGACTCTTTCAAAATCCATTTAAGTTCTTTGCAATATCACTATTACTCTGGGATATTAATGCAAGACCAAATATAAGGTCATGAATAAATTCATTCTTCAAAGTATAATGTGCTCAAAAAATAGCTAAGTCTATTTACCATCTTCAAATATGGTTGAAAGAAATAAAAATGAAATATAATAAACATCACAAAGCCTTCTAGATATGGAAAAATTAACAATATATTGGGTACTGGCAGAGTAAATTCTTCAGGAAGCCAAAGAGACATTGTAAAAGAGAGCCCTTTAAGACAACGATGAAATCAAGCTCCAGGCTAAATAGCGGGAAACATTCTGTGGAAGAAAATGTTAAAATCTCATATCTTTAATCCTTATTTCTCCTGAGAAGCTAAAAATATAAATTTCATACTTTAATCCTATCCTATTGTATAAAGATTTCTGCTTAATAAAGAAGCCACTGGGATTTGGAAAAACTTCATTTGCTGGAAAAAAGAAGAGGTCACTTGACAATAGAAGGAAGGATCATAACCAGGGTACCTGGGTTTACCTTTGCTTTGCGAAAGTGGTAGACCACCAGCATGCTAACAAAGTCCAGCAGCATACACAGGGCTTGGAAGGAGATGATAGCAAGTCGCAGATATTTATCCTCCTGGACAAAGCAGGGGCTGTCATCGGCACAGTAGGGGCAGCCCTCCCTGCAGGGTAGGCAGACGTGGGCTTCTTCTGACACATCTTTTGCTCTTTCTGCAAAATGGTGATCCGGACCCCTTCCTGAAAGTTTCCAAATAAAATTACATTGTCATTGCATTTCTGAGGTAGGCAAGACTTAGTACAGAGTCAAAAGACATCTTTCACCTCTTCGTTCATTTTCCTTTTTATTAAAGACCTTTTGTCAACCTTTTTGCTAGAGAATAGAGTTACTTTGACTTTAGACTCAAACAAAAGTTTTTTACCCCTTTGATTTTAAAAAAAAAATTGTCATTCAAAGTAACTAAGGAAAATTAGCAAACATGGAAAATAAAACTCCATGCAAGAAATAGTTTTCTAAATCTTTTATATCATTATCTACCAATCACCAACAGATACTCCCTATGGCACAAATCATATTCCATAAGTATTTGTTCAAGAGCTAACCATAAGGCAGGACAAGAAAGTTGTGTCTTTCCTGCACCAAATAAATACACTTAACACATCTAGATGGCACAAAATCCAAAGTGAGACTTTGATTCCTCCTTAATTTAGAAGGATCCTCATCTATCAGGTTCATTAGGTCTAAATTGGATAAAATGGTACTTAATGGACAGTTATTCAGTGTGCAATTGCATAATGATAGTGTGTCCTTTCCCAGGGTATAATCCATACTTACAGGCTACTGTATAATTTTCCATTTTGCATGCCCATAGGATATTTCTGCACTGTTAACTAACTGCTGCTATGATCCTCCCTTTAATGTTAGATTCTTCTGTTTCAGTGATCAAAGTTTGCTCTGAAGCCCAGAGGTAAAGATTCTCTTTAATTGTTGAGTATACCATTGAAAATGATCCAATTAACACCATATACTAAAATAAATAAAAAAAGAAAACCATTTCCAATGCTGAACTCAACATGAAAGACATCAGTGAATAAATAACCAGTTTAGTATATCACACAACCACATAGTTTGATATATACCACAACCTTGATTGATTAACAAATTTGGGAAAGAGGTTATTCTGATTAATAGCATTTTAATAACACAAAATTTAACACAAAATCTTTATTATTTTCAACTCTCGTGAAAGGTTCATAATCTTTGAAAATACATTTGTCTGTTTTCCTTCCTCAATAGATATAATAGCAAAAACATAATTGAATCTTCTTTAATGATTCAGAATATATTGTTTTGTAAGAGCCATCATTCTGTGAAAAGTGTATGGATTTAAGTGTCCAGCAGATATGATTCCAATCAACAGAGAGCTCTATGGCATTAGGTAACTCTCTTGACCACTTTGGGTCTTAGTTTACTAATGTATGAAATGTGAATTGCTGTGGGTTTTATATGAGATAATGTATATACAGGGTGGGGCAAAAGTAATTTACAGCTGCTTGTATGGAAAATAATATAATACTTAATACATGATAATACAACAATAAGCTTTATTTTGTGTACTCACAACTGTATACCTACTTTTGCCCCACCCTGTAAATCAGGCTGCCCAGCTTTCTCTTCTTTGCACCTTCCAAACATGGGAGGTGCAAAGAGGAACTAGGAATCTATTGCTGTTTTAAGGAAAGGCACTACTTGGTCAAAAGCAGGGAAGTTAGAAGAAAGAGCTGAAATAGGAAGAGAAGGAGTGGAAGGATAAGCTCCATTTTAGGCCAATTATATTTGAGGTCCAACTTATATTGTCCAAGAGAAATATGCATTAAGAAGTGAGAAACAATACAAAAATGGATTGTAGGAGAAGGATCAGTGTCAGAGAAAGAATCTACAGAGAGCCATGGGCATGGGTGAGGTCGATTAAGGGAATATATAGGGGAAGAAGTTAGATAGGCAGACATTTTTACAATATCATAAAAGAAAATGGATTTACAGGAACATGCTGGAATGTGATCAAAGATAATAAATGAGTAAAGGCTATGAAGTTTAATGATTATTTTATCCTTCATTTATCTTTTAGACAGTAGTTTCCAGAGTGGTAGAATGAAATTAGGTTGTCAGTCCTTAAGAAATAAATATGTGATAAAGTAGAATATTCTTTTAATAAGTGTTCCAGTGAATGAAAAAAAGCTAGGAAAGCTCGTGTTTAATAGAAATAGTAATGGGTCAAAAGGACTTCAGTCAGGTGTGACACACCTGCCTCCAACCTAATTAGGGACACTGCAAGTTATTCTTCCCCTTTGTCATGTGGGTTTTTGCCTCTCACAGAACCTTTAGTTGCTATAAGTCTCCTCACTTTTAAGTTTTGCCTTTTAACCTTCTTGTCAAGTTTGTCATTAACAGACTACAACAAGAATGCCAGCTTGTCTAATCATCCTCCTAGACATCGCCATCTCCCAGGGACACCAGACTAACTGGACTTTGCAGAATCCTTCTTCCCTGCATAAAGAATCCTTTCCCATTTTGCTTCCCCCTTCCTCTGTCAGATAGGCAGAACTTCTAAGCCTTGGTATAGACAGATCTCCACCTCTTAACAGCAGGAAGCAGTTACATAAATCAGAGACCTTCGCCTATCTCTCCTTTATACTATTACTAGAGGCCCGGTGCACAAAATTCGTGCACTTGGGGGGTGGGTTCCCCAGCCTGGCCTGAGCCTTCTCACAGTGCAGGAGCCCCACGATCAATCTCCCCAAAGAGGTAGGCCCCGCCCATCCATCTGGGGCTCCTCGATGGATTGCCCCAAAGAAGTAGGCTGGAGCCGGGGGTCCTGCCTCCAGCCCACGCAGAGCTGTGGGACCCTGGCGTAGCTGTGCAGAGCCGCTGGGACCCGCCACCTCCATGCCACACATGCAGCATCAAGTCCTCGCCCACCCACATGTGCCTTGCCATGCATGTAGCCTCCTGGTAATGGATTGTGATGGCGTGAGGGCATCACAGTGTGAGGGTGTGACAACCACATAGGCTTTTATTAGTATAGATAAAGAGGTTTCTTTTTTCTCAGGGGGGAATGATACTGTTGCAGTAATCTGGTTATTATTTAACAGAAAAGGAGTAAAGAGAAGACTAGATAATATAGGCATGCCATTTTTACAGATTTGCTAAAAAGGTGTAATTTAACACTTTCTAAAGTCTGTTCCCCGCTCATCCATGGGGGGAGGAACTGGAAAAAGCAATTGGACACAAGCCCAGTAAGGCCTAGGTCAGTGATGGTGAACCTGTGACACACGTGTCAGAGGTGACACGCAAACTCATTTTTTTGGTTGATTTTTCTTTGTTAAATGGCATTTAAGTATAAAAATAAATATCAAAAATATAAGTCTTTGTTTTACTATGGTTGCAAATATCAAAAAATTTCTATATGTGACATAGCACTAGAGTTAAGTTAGGGTTTTTCCAAATGCTGACACGCCGAACTCAGAAAGTTCACCATCACTGGGCTAGGTACATGGGAAGGTGCTTACTCATCAGTCACACCTGGAAGTGAGTCAGTGGCGAGAATAGGCATGGCCTCTGTAAGGGCACGAAACCTGAATATTTAAACTGCCAAACAAAGGGAGTTCCCTCTTTTGGGTTGCTCACTTGCAGTTTGCCCCTGACTCCTGTTGCAGAGGGCACATTCCCCTGCATGCACCCATGTGGCCCATGGTCATGTGGGCTTCACACAATGTACTAAAGGACAATAACTCTGCCAGACCCAGCTGCACCATGGAACAGAAGCTCTGGACACTGGCCCTTCTTCTGCTCCACTAAAACTCTAGCTGCACCTCTCAGACTGGGTTAAGGGGCATGGGATGTTACTACCCCAAAAATGTAGCTCCATGGAAATAAAGTCTTCTACCATCTCTCATTGTCCAGTGGGGAATTCTGAAAATGCTCATTTTGGTGACACCCCAAGAACCTCATTCCCATGAACAACAGAGGCACTCCACTCGTGAACTCCTCCGATAACATTATAAGCAGAGACTATTTAGCATCCTGAGTCACTTAAATCTGAAAAATACTCAGTATGTTAACAGCACAGTGTTATCTGGGGTTTTTTGTTTGTTTGTTTTTGTAACATATGACCATGGCAAGCAATTTTAGTCACATTTTAGATACATTTGACACGTCCTTTGTAAAAATTTTCACTCATTTTTAACCAAGAAAAATGTGAGAGTTTCTTTTTGCTTAGGAGAAAACCTAACCTAACCCTGACTCTTTTCATGATCATTGTTTTACTTTTGTTGCTCATACATATATCCCAATTATGGCCCCCTCTACCTTGATATATTTTGCTATTCATGTAAATCAAGGTTCTTTTATATTGCTTGCAATGTCCCCCAATTCTAACATACTACAGACTGAGTTACTTGTCTAGATTCTACCTACTGAAGTAGAGACTGGGAGGTAGAATTCAGGAACACAGAATTTCAGTCAGTCCTGTTGAATGGTCTGTTCCTACTGTGCAAAGCTGAACTTAACTACACCTACCATGCCCATCATTCTCTTCACCAACCTGTTATCCAGAGAACTATACCAACTTAGAGAACCTCTCATGACTGATCCACTCTATCTCTGTTCACTATTATTGATGTTCCAAGTCCTTGTGATTATCTTATTTGCCAATGTTCTGCTCTGATTGTTACTAGAGTATA